GAGTCGGGAGGGGCAAGAACGTCTCCCCGGTGCAGTGGAAGAAGACTGCCGGCCAGCCCGGGACTCGGAATCCGGGGCCAGGGCCTCGGCAGGCGCCCGCTCGTAAGCCGGCAGCGCAGACGCGGACAACCCACTGCTCAGCGGGACACACCTCCGGCCTTGCGCCGGAACGCCGCTTGGACAACAACCTTTCCGCCGAGTGCAGGCCGAGCGCTTTTGGGCGCAGCACGCAGGAACCGGAAGTCAATGGAGGAAGACCGGACCTACTGACTCAATTTGGAGATGAGCGGCCCTACCCTCTTCATGGCAGGAGGTAGGGTGCTTGGCACACTGGGGTAGTTTCCTGTCTGTCACTAGCCTCTGACCCTAGAGGCTAATGGAATAGGGCTGGAGGTATTCTGGAGGAACCTGGAGTGTTTCCTTCCTCATGTCCCTCATGTCCTAGAGTGTTTCCTTCCTCATGTCCCTTGTTCAGGCCCCTCTCTTGGAGCCCCAGCCTAGTTGACGGGGCGGTTTTCGGAACATTTGTGCTTCCTTGGCCTCAGGTTCCACAGGTGGCTCCTCAGAGTGGGCGGATGGTTCAGATTCTCACAGCCGCTTGCTTACCTCTGGCCGCATTACTTTCCTGTGGCTGCGATGTTAGAGTGACTTCCCACTGGTTTTACAAAGTTATACATTGTATGGTGTTTCTCATACTTGCAAAAACGTCATGGTAGAAATCTTGAAAAGTGTACGGAAGAAAATAAAACTGCCCTTAAATTTACCACTTAGCTGAAACATTTCTTATAAACATATAAAATTTAATTTTATTCAGTTCCACCAGATGAGATACTAAAATGTGAAAATGGAAGTGAAGAGAAACCTTTTTTTTTTTTTTTTTTTGAAACAAGTTACACTCATGTTGCCCAAACTGGAGTGCAATGGTGTGATCTCGGCTCACCGCAACCTCTGCCTTCCGGGTTAAAGCGATTCTCCTGCCTCAGCCTCCTGAGTAGCTGGGATTACAGGCATACGCCACCACGCCCGGCTAATTTTGTATGTTTAGTAGAGTCAGGGTTTCTCCATGTTGGTCAGGCTGGTCTCGAACTCCCGACCTCAGGTGATCCTCCCACCTCGGCTCCCAAAGTGCCGGGATTATAGGCGTGAGCCACTACGCCCGGCCTAAGACAAACCTTAACAGGAAATATTAGTTACAAAAAGATTCCTCTAAATTAAAAATATCAAAAACGTTAAGCAGTTGGAATAATTGTTTCAACTACCTTCTTCCTAATGGGTGTAAAATACAGTTTTCTAGGTAGTAAAACTTTGGACTGATCCATAAAAATCGGAAGACATCTCTCGTGACTTGAAAACAACAAAAGCTGTATTTAAAACTCTGTAATATAGTTTAAAAACTAATCCTCTTTTAAAGATGATTCTCCAGGACAATTTAATATTGTCCTCTACTAGTTCTTAAATTCCGGGAAAGTATTTGTGACTTTGCAAAGGATCTAGTCAAGCTTGCAACTAACACTAAAGGAAGTAGGACATCCAACTTACATTTTGCTACATTTTCCTTTTAGAGAGGTGGAGATGCTTTCTGGCCCCGTCGAGGTCATCCCTGTTCCGGGTCTTACATAATTCCTGCTGTCGGAAAAAATCCACTACACCTAAGAAAATTACTCCCAATGTTACTTTTTGTGATGAAAATGCAAAGGAGCCTGAAAATGCACTTGACAAGCTCTTCTCTTCAGAACAGCAGGCTTCCATCTTGCATGTGTTGAATACAGCATCTACTAAAGAACTTGAAGCTTTCAGATTGCTTCGTGGAAGAAGGTCCATCAATATCGTAAAGCACAGAGAAAACTTTGGGCCATTTCAGAATTTAGAGAGTTTAATGAATGTGCCCTTGTTAAAGTATAAAAGTACAGTTCAAGTTTGTAACTCCATACTTTGTCCAAAGACTGGAGGGGAAAAAAGAAAGTTACCGGAAAACCGGTTCCTGAGAAAGCTCCTCAAACCAGACATAGAAAGAGAAAGACTTAAGGTATATTCTTCATGTCTGCTATACTGCCTAATATTTGAGAACCTACTCTGGAAAGCAGTCTTCTGGGCATTGGGTTGGGAAGTGGCTAAGAAAAGGTTCTTCAGGTTTAGTTGGCAAGTATATGGTCACTACCAAATAATGAGATGTACAGATAGTAAATTGGCAGTTGAGAGGAGAGAAAACAATGGGCTGTGACTGTTGTGGAAAGTTTACTGGAAAAACTCAATTTAGATCTTAAAGGAGAGATCCTTTGGCTGGGAGAGGAGGGGATTCTAGGTAGAAAGAACAGTTAGTGTTGAGAAGCAGGTCTAGGCAAGGCTTATTTAAGAGGAGTGTCATTGGAGATACTAGGCTGTGTCTAAGGGTGATGTTGGGATTAATGAGAAATTAAGGAGCAAAGATGGGTTATGGCCTTTCTAAAAGCACTTCTTTTTCCATTATCTTAAAAAAATAAGTACTACAAATATTTGACACAGCTTTTTTTTTTTTTTTTTTTTTTTTTTGAGACGGAGTCTTGCGCTGTCACCAGGCTGGAGTACAGTGGCACGATCTTGGCTCACGACAACCTCCACCTCCCAGGGACAAGCGATTCTCCTGCCTCAGTCTCCTGAGTAGCTGGGACTACAGGCACACGCCCCCACACCCAGCTAATTTTTGTATTTTTAGTAGAGATGGGGTTTCACCACGTTGGCCAGGATGGTCTCGATCTGTTGACCTCGTGATTCACCCACCTCGGGCTCCCAAAGTGCTGGGATTACAGGTGTGAGCCACTGCGCCTGGACACAGCATTCAAATATTAAACTTTAGAGGAACTCATGCCCTGTGTAACATTGCTTGATAATCATTATCTCATAAAAATCATAAGCACCATTTTTTTCTAGACCAGTGGCTCCCAGGTTTTTGAGGAATATGGGTACTTTTGAAAACCTGATGAAAGCTGTGGACCCTTTTCCTGTAGAAAAAGATATAGCACATATACACAGAATACTGCAGTTTCAGAGGACTGGCAGATTCTGTTAAGTCCGCTCATGGACTCCAGGTAGAACTGCTGCAATTGATCTGGAACATATTTCAACCAAACTTTTCAGGGAGGATTCTCATCCAAATTCATGGCCAAAACTATTTATATCCAGATTATAGTGCAGTTGCATCTTATTTAGGGGGCTGGATTGTAAAGTCAGTTTTTATGGAGACATAAGTCATGCAGTAAAATCCTTTAAGAGAAAATCGATTGCCCACAAAGTATTGTGTGTAGTCTGGTTTAGTAATGCTTACGCACACTAAAGCTTGAGAGTCACTGAGCTAAAGAAAAGAACCAATAGGAGGTCTGTATTTTGGGCATCTATACTATTTTGTCTTTAAGACATTTATCCAGTTCTTAGCAATGAAAGGGAGATGGGAATAGAACTAATTGTTCCTGTTTATTTGCCTCTGTATCTATAGAACATATTAGTTTGTTAATATAACTAAGTGAGCCATGTTGGGGAAAGGTAATAGCATTGTACTTCATTGTCAGCCCATACTTGATAGGAAGCAAAATCTAAATATTCAATTACTTATATATCTCCTTGTAGAAGCCCGATAGGCAACCCAAACTTAATACATTAAAAACAAACCAAAACAAAACAAAAAAAATTCTTCCCACCTTCCCTAGGGTCATCTTCATCATTAATGATGCCATTCAGTCACTGATATAAAACTGGAATTCTTAGACTCCTCATTAAACCTATGTATTAATTCTGTTCCCACTATCTCTGTTTCTTTTCCTTCTGTCATTGTCTTCAATTCTTAATACTTTCTCATGTTATAACAGGTACCTAACACAGATCCCTACCTTTAGTGCCCTCCAGCCCATCTTTTACACCATGAGTGATTTTTCTGAAATGTAAATCTTTTTTTTTTTTTTTGAGACGGAGTCTTGCTCTGTAGCCCGGGCTGGAGTGCAGTGGCCGGATCTCAGCTCACTGCAAGCTCCGCCTCCCGGGTTTGCGCCATTCTCCTGCCTCAGCCTCCGGAGTAGCTGGGACTACAGGCGCCCGCCACCTCGCCCGGCTAGTTTTTTTTTGTATTTTTAGTAGAGACGGGGTTTCACGTGTGTTAGCCAGGATGGTCTTGATCTCCTGACCTCGTGATCCGCCCGTCTCAGCCTCCCAAAGTGCTGGGATTACAGGCTTTGAAATGTAAATCTTATGTTATTCCTTAACATTCTGTTTTTTTAGTGGCCCCTGTAGCACTCAGGGTAAAGCAGGTTACTTACGTTTACAGACACCTGCCTAGTCCTCTGCCCTTTTCCTATTCAGTCTTTATTGTACTGCCAGAGTTTGAGATGTCAAACAGCCTATCTTTTCTGATATCTGGGTGAAATAACTTCCCGTGCACCATCTCATTCTCCTAGTTCTCCAGCAAACCTTCCCTGATCACTTCTCTCTACAATAGTTTTATGGTGGCATTTCTTATAATGTACAGTTACGTTTGTTTCCTAGTATCTAGTGCAGACCCTGGCTACACTTGAGTTTGAATGCCTACTTTGGGCTAGGTGTTGAGATGAGTATAGGTTCTTTATCTATAAACTGCTGTTCGTTACCTTTTAATAATAATTACTCCTCAGTGGCTCACGCCCATAATCCCAGCACTTTGGGAGGCAGAGGCGGATGGATCACTTGAGGTCAGGAGTTCAAGACCAGCCTGGCCAACATGGTGAAACCCCGTCTCTACTAAACATACAAAAATTAACTGGGTGTGGTGGCAGGTGCCTGTAATCCCAGCTACTCAGGAGGCTGAGGCAGGAGGATTGCTTGAATCTGGGAGGTGGATGTTGCGGTGAGCTGATTGTGCCACTGCACTCCAGCCTGGGTGATAGAGTGAGACTCCATCTCAAAATAATAATAATTACTCCTGCATTTCTTTGATAATTCTCAAAATATTACATAAACTAGTTAGGCATTCCGAATTTGTAGATTATGTTTGCATTTGTAAAATGTTTACACTTCTGGCCAGGCACAGTGGCCCATGCCTGTAATCCTAGCACTTTGGGAGGCGAGGCAGGTGGATCATGAGGTCAGGAGATCGAGACCATCCTGGCTAACACGGTGAAACCCCGTCTCTACTAAAAAAATATATAAAAAATCAGCCGGGCATGGTGGCGGGTGCCTGTAGTCCCAGCTACTCGGGAGGCTGAGGCAGGAGAATGGCATGAACCTAGGAGGCGGAGCTTGCAGTGAGCCAAGATCACACCACTGCACTCCAGCCTGGGCAAGAGTGAGACTCCATCTCAAAAAAAGAAAAAAAAAAAAAAATGTTTACACTTCTAATTAAACCAGTTTTTTCTTTTAGGCAGTTAATAGTATCATATCTATTGTTTTTGGTACTCGAAGAATTGCCTGGGCTCACCTCGATCGTAAATTGACAGTGCTGGACTGGCAGCAAAGTGACCATTGGAGTTTAATGAAGGGAACATCATACTCATCATCAGTCTACTTAGAAGAGGTAAGGCAGTTGCACCTCCAGATTCCTACCTGCTAGAGTGTAGTTTAATCTTCTGGTCCCAAAAGGAATGTAATAAAATAGTAAAGATGGGTTTTCTTCTGGTACTTGTTACTCACTTGTTCCTATTATGTTTTCCATCACCTTTGATTTTTAAAAATTCAACCTTTAGTTAGTTCAAGAAATGCCTTATGCTTTTAAAGGCAGATACTGAGAAAATCAATGGTATTTCATTCTAAATGTTATAGAACATTATCACTGTCTTTTATTTATAAAGCTTATTTTTCAAAATGCCATCACATTGTGTCATTTGAGTTTTCAAAACCTTGTGAAATGGGCAGGAATTATCACCTTGATTATACATATGAAATCTGTGGTTCAGTCAAGCATCTGATGTGATTAGTCAGTTGCAGACGTGATTGATTCTTGCTAGTTATTCTAACCCTATGCTCTATCCCAGAAAATGTTTGAAGGTTAATAAAACAGTTTTAAGTTGTCTAATCTTAAAGCCAATACAGATTTTAGAAATTATGAAGTCCATTGTACAGATCAAGAAACTGGTACTTAGGAGGACTAAATAGCTTAGCTGTTGTTGTGACACAACCATGACCAGAACCAGACTGCTCATAAAATGGCTTTTTCAGTTATTTCAAAATTGTCAATAGTGATATAGTATAAGTTAACTAATTATAATATTTTAAAATAGAAGTGGGACAGAGAGGGGACCAAACATAAAATGTAATGAATTATTTCTGCTCCTTTATTTTGCCTTCTTTTAAAAGATTTCCTCGATCATTTCAAAGATGCCTAAAGCAGATTTCTATGTTCTGGAAAAAACAGGACTTTCCATTCAAAACTCATCTCTGTTTCCAATACTGCTACATTTTCATATCATGGAAGCCATGCTGTATGCCTTATTGAATAAAACTTTTGCCCAGGAAGGGCAGCATCAGGTGCTGAGCATGAATCGAAACGCAGTGGGGAAGCATTTTGAACTGATGATTGGTCACTCCCGGACTAGTGGAAAAGAGCTCGTGAAGCAGTTTCTCTTTGATTCTGTACTGAAGGCGAATCCTCGGGTGTTCTTCCCATCAGATAAAATAGTCCGCTATAGACAGATGTTTTTATCTACTGAACTACAAAGAGTAGAAGAGCTTTATGATTCATTATTACAAGCTGTTGCCTTCTATGATTTAGCAGTGTTTGACTCTGAGCCCTAGAATTCTGAGGTTAATGTGCTACAGTTATATTAATGTATAATTATTAGCTCTAACGTAACACCAACTGTTGTGAACATCCATGTTATTGGAAAAGAACACATTTTGAGTGTATTTTAGATGTTTAAATTCTGACTTTTGGCTATTAAATGGCTTACACAATAAGCCAAGACCAAATCAATAAACATTTTATGAGATTCTGTGCCTTTCAGGTTAATGTGTTAAACAGTAAGATGGGGCTTGGTGCAGTGGCTTATGCCGATAATCCCAGCACTGTGGGAGGCTGAGGCAGGAGGACTGCTTGTGCCCAGGGAGCTCAAGAGCAGCTTGGGTAACATAGCAAGACCACAAATTTTTAAAAATTTTTCATTAAAAAAAGAAACAGATGCCAAATTCACAAAACAAGAAACAAAGTTATTTCCTTTTAAAAGCAAATACTATCTACACTAAGCATTTGCATTATCATCATATTGTTAAACTAGGGAACAATGGTTTTCCTAGGTGGTACTTACTATAATAAAGCTGGCCTGGCGCAGTGGCTCACACCCGTAATCCCAGTACTTCGGGAAGCTGAGGTGGGTGGATCACCTGAAGTCAGGAGTTTGAGACTGGCCTGACCAAAGTGGAGAAACCCTGTCTCTACCAAACAAAAAAATACAGAATTAGCTGGGCATGGCGGTACATGCCTGTATCCCGAGCTACTCGAGAGGCTGAGACAGGAGAATCGCTTGAACCTGGAAGGCGGAGGTGGCAGTGAGCTGAGATAGTGCCATTGTACTCCAGCCTGGGCAACAAGAGTAAAACTCCATCTCAAAAAAAAAAAAAAAAGAATAAAGCTAAAGATAACCAATAACACAGCTTATAGAATCGTCCTCTTATTCTCTAAGTAGAATGTGGTTTGCCACACTGCCTCCAAAAGCTGGTTTTCTTTTCTTGAGATAGGGTCTCACTTTATCACCCAGGCTAGAGTGCAGGGGCATAATCACAGTTCACTGCAGCACCTCCTAGCCTCAAGCAGTCTTCCTGCCTCTCTTGAATAGCTAGGACTACAGGCACATGCCACCATACCCAGCTAATTTATTTTGTGTAGAGACGGGTCTCACCCTGTTGCCCAGGCTGGGCTCAAATTCCTGGCCTCAAGCAGTCGTCCTGCCTCAGCCTCCCAAAGTGCTGGGATTACTGGTGTGAGCCACCATACCCGGCCCCAAAAGATGACTTTCATCAGCTCAAATATATTAGCCAAAAACAAACAAGCTTTGTCTAATAGGCTTTTGTTTTGAGACCTAGTCTGGCTCTGTTGCCCAGGCTGGAGTGCAGTGGCGTGATCTTGGCTCACTGCAACCTCTGCCTCCTGGGTTCAAGCAATTCTCCTGCCTCAGCCTCCCAAGTAGCTGGGACTATAGGCACACACCACCATGCCCAGCTAATTTTTGTATTTTTAGTAGAGATGGGATTTCGCTATATTGGCCAGGCTGGTTTCCAACTCCTGACCTTGTGATCCTCCTGCCTCGGCCTCCCAAAGTGTTGAGATTACAGGAATGAGCCACCGCGCCCAGCAGGCTCATTTTTTAACTTTGCAATATTTTAACTTGACAGACCATCTTTTGATGTCCATTTTACCATTGTCTATCTTAGTTGAGGTCCTCAATATATCTTCTTTATGAACCTAAGTCTCTTTGATGTCAAAGTATTAAGTATCAGTGGTGCATGCCTGTCAGCTACTTGGAAGGCTGAGGTAGGAGGATAACTTGCGCCCAGGAGTTTGAAGCCAGCCTCAGCAACATAGCAAGGCCCCATCTCTTAAAAAAAAAAAAAAAGTATTAAATATTTTCTGTAACATAAACATTTTCTATAATCTAAAAGTGAAATATACTTGTTTAAAAAAATTTCAAATAATCTGAAACAAAGCAAGAAATGGAAGCCCTCCCTTCTCTAGCACCTCCAACTCCCTAGGGTTGGTATACACTCTTGACCTGTTGCCACGCACAAATACAGTTTCTACATTTACATATGTTATTGTGTACCTAAACATCTCCACTTTGGAAATGTAGATACCTCAATCTATGCATGTCTAAAAAGGAAATCATTCTCTTTCCATCCAAACCATCTCCTTTGCCATTGTTTTCTATTTTGATAGTTTCTCCAACTACCTAGTTGTTCATAACAGAAACATGGCATTATCACAAAAGTGAATCTGAATCTTCCAGGAATTTACTGTCTTTAAAAACGAAAGGCTGGGCGCAGTGGCTCATGTGTGTCATCTCAGCACTTTGGGAGGCTGAGGCGGGCAGATCACGTGAGGTCAGAAGTTCAAGACCAACCTGGCCAACATGGAGAAACCCTGTCTCTACTAAAAATGCAAAATTAGCTGGGCATGGTGGGGTGTGGTGGCACATGTCTGTAATCCCAGCTACTTGGGAGGCTGAGGCAGGAGAATCACTTAAACCCGGGAGGTAGAAGTTGCAGTGAGCCAAGATGACACCATTGCACTCCTGCCTGGACAACAAGAGCGAAACTCCATCTCAAACAAACAAAAAAAATGAAAAGGCTGGGTGCAGTGGCCGCATCCATAATCCCAATACTTTGGGAGGCCAAGGAAGCAGGATCACTTGAGCTCAAGAGTTGGAGGCTGTGGTGAACTATGATTGTGCCACTGTACTCCAGCCTGGGCAACTAGAGTGAGATCAAGAGTGAGACCTCTTAAAAAAAAAAGATAAAGATTTTTTTCCCTGAATTATTATAAACCTAAAAATAAATAAAATATTAAATGTGTCCCTATTAGGGAGGAAAATACTCCTATTATTTTCTTTTTTTTTTTTTAAGAGGAGAAAAAACAGTTTTTTAAAGATATTTTTAAAAATACTTCAGGCCAGGCACAGTGGCTCACGCCTGTAATCCCAGCACTTTGGGAGGCCAGGGCAGGCAGATCACCTGAGGTCAGGAGTTTGAGACCAGCCTGACCAACATGGAGAAACCCTGTCTCTACTAAAAATACAAAATTAGCCAGGTATGGTGGTAGGTTCCCGTAATCTCAGCTACTCGGGAGGCTGAGGCAGGAGAATCGCTTGAACCTGGGAGGTGGAGGTTGCAATGAGCCAAGATCCTGCCATTGCACTCCAGCCTGGACAACCAGAGCAAAACTCCGTCTCAAAAAACAAAACAAAACAAAACTTCAGAAGATCTTATTCTCTCTTCTGTACAAGGATGAAATCTTTAAGTTATATCCTATATTCAAACCCATACAATATACATTATTTACCAAGGTGATTACATCTGAACTCTTTTTTAAACATTTCATAAAGCCTTTAGCTTTAACCTTTAATTAGATCAATATACTAATTAATGCAAGAAAAAGTAAATTGAACAAATAAGAGGTAAAAATATCTATCTTCATACACATTTATAAACATATACTGTTCAAAATTGTACAATATAGGCCTAGCACGGTGGTTCACGCCTGTAATCTCAGCACTTTGGGAGGCCAAGGCGGATGGATCACTTGAGGTCAGGAGTTAGAGACCAGCCTGACCAACATGGTAAAACCCTGTCTCTACTAAAAATACAAAAATTAGCTGGGCAAGGTGGTGGGCTCCTGTAATCCCAGCTACTCGGGAGGTTGAGGCAGGATAATCGCTTGAACCTGGGAGGCAAAGGTTGCAGTGAGCTGATACCAAGCCACTGCACTCCAGCCTGGGTGACAGCGAGATTCCATCTCAAAAAACAACAACAACAACAACAACAAAAAAACTGTACAATATGAGGATCCTTAACTTTTGGGTTAAAAATATAATTCATCAGATAATGTTTTTGTTTTACTGTTGGTTTTTTTTTTTTTGTAAAGCCAGTCAAATTTAGCAGTGGGAGATTGTATACCAACTTTAGTGACACTAATGTATCTGAATATTAAGCTAATATATAATATAAACACTTGAAATAGGGAGTTCATCTTAATGAACTCTACCTTCCAGAAACAGTTCACTCACATAGAAAAACTACTCCAACAAAGCTAAATCAGATAATACAAAAAATTCAGAAAAAAAATTACAATCATATATACAATTTGTAACTCAAATATTTTAAATATTTGCCCACCAATAAAAAAATATACAAATTGTTTGTTTAAAATGTACATTGAGAAATATACTTTTCCACGAAGATCCACATAATATAAAAATGTATCTTAAGGACCACATGATAATCTATACAAAGTATGGTTAGTATGAAACATTAAGGGAAGGTAGCTGCCAAAGTATTCACAGTATCTTTTGGAATGTCAAGATGAATTCCTTCAAAATAGTGCAGGAATCTGTCAAAATTACAAAGAAAAATACAATTTAATATTAACATTTTCATCTTATGAAAATATGTATTAATCTTGAAAAAACTATCTAAAATGTTGTTTTTAATAAAGCCTTTACCTTCTTTTACTTTTTCCTTGTTCTTTTAGCTTCTCAGTCTTACAGATGTTTCGAAGGGTTGGCAGGTACTCAATTATACTAGCTTGTCTATTACTCACATAGAGAAGAGATCGACTTGAAAATACACTTTTAATGACTGCTATCCTCTTCCAAGCATTCCTGTAAAAGTAATGCATTGTTTTTAATTTTTAATGCCCAAGAAAAATGCAGTAATCCCAATCACAACCAGTTTAGTTTCCTTGCCTCTGGTCTAGACCAGATGACATTTCCAGATTAATTTCCTGTCAACATATCAATCACTCCCATACTGAAAAATCTCAGTAACTATCTGCTATCTATCACAGCAAGACCAAACTCCCTCCTGGGTCATTCAAGCGTTACCTAAATCCACCCCAATCCTCATTATTTCTCTTCCCAGCAATCAGGCTGGTCTCCTTAACTGTCTCATTAGAAGCTGCATTATTAATGTTAAGGGCTTACAATGATCAACAATACAGCACTTTTAAATTAAGAAAAAACTAATGATTTCCCCTTTACTATTTATTACTAAAAAATAAAAAGTAAAGTAAGACTTACTCTAAATTAGCTGCTGACTGACTAAAGTATACATTATTGCGCTTTTGTGAAATATAAAAAGTAAGATCATTGGTTGGATCTCTTCCTAATTTCTTGCAAGAATTCAAGTTTTCCAGTGCTTTTGAAATAGTAGAAGAACATTTAGTAAAGCTGAGAGCTTCTGCAGCTGCTTTTAATTCTCCAGAGCTTTGAGAAGTCCATCCATC